CGCGTGGCAGGACAGTTTCTCAGTGGAGGCCTGGAGAGGAAATTCGTCTGCCGACCTCCTCTGTCTTCTGCCCTTCACTGGTCAGAGCTGTCTCATGAGGAGTTCACTCTCCCTGCTCCTGGAGTGCACTACCAGGGCCCTCCAGCAGCCACTGGGAAGGTGGATGTGGCATGTCACTGGAGTCCCAACGTAGTGGGAAGAGCCAGAGATTGGGATCCTGACAGTCTTCTCCACTTGGTCAGAGGCAGGACTAGGTGAGACCAAGAGAGGTTGAGACAGTACGTCAGGTGCATCTAATCCAGTGGCATGCGGACTGTGTCCTTGTGCGGAGTTCCTTCTTGGGAGCTAGCCTCACCTAGACTGCCAAGTCTCTGCCAAGATAGTGGCTGAATAACCAACTGGGCTTTTGCAGGTCGATCTTCACAGCCTTCTCTGTTGCTTCATTTCCTGCTTACTGACGCAGGAGACTGTGGCGTTGATGGTTCCCAAGTGGGACGTAAGCATCTACGTGCTCGTGGACGGGACAGAGAAAGTGTAAAGGCAGATAGAGATGAGCACCTAGCTTCATAAGGTTCTCCGTGAAGGACGATATTTTCCTGTGAGGTAGTAGTTGAAGGTATGAAACCTGGAGTCATGAGATGGGGCTGGCGAAGGCAGTGAGGCCAAGTCACGCGGAGTTCAAAAGGCTCTTAACGGCTGAGGAGTTTAGACTTTATCCTGAGGGCACTGGAGAGCCTATGGAGGGCTCTTGGGGAGACTGAGACCGAAGGAGGGGCTGCAGTAAAGCATGCTGGCTGCTTTGCAGAGCAGAGGTGGGTGAGAGGCCAGATGAGATGAGAAAGCAGTGCAGGCGGGGGCCAGCGTGGCAGCAGGCGGGAATTGGGAATGGCTCAGACCAGGTGATGACTGAGGCATGACATCAGGTGAGGAGGGTAGGGTGCCTCCCATCCTTCCCCGCGTGCCAGTGACAACAGCTGTGGGCCTGGCGCGGCCTGCTGGAACCTCTGCACAAGTCTAGGTTGAGCATGCCTGTCCTCCTGACTTTTCGTGTTTTTATTTTTTTAAATTTAATAAATCTTTATTGCTCAGATTATTACAGTTGTTTCTCGTGTCCTCTTGACTTTTCCATCCCGGAGTTTGGAGGCAAAGCCACTGTGGGGAGCCTGGTCCAGGCAGGTTTGGCTCCTTCGCAGAAGGCAGGCAGCCTCTTGTTCGGTGCCAAGCAAGACCTGTTCTCGGCAAACCCATGTTCTGTCTCTAGGCTGTTAAAATATATTGTTCGAAGGCAAGCTGTTGCATTTGGGCAGCAGCTGGGAGCTTGGCAGAGGTTTCTGCCTGATGAGGTAAGGGGAGAAGCTAAGGACGCTCGCTGCTGGTTTGCAGCTGGAAACATCTTTCCGCGGCCATCTGGCCAGGTTGTAAACGTCCTTTCCAAAGAGAAGGCTTGTTGGGGACTCTGATTGTATGTCTTGGAATTGCCTTGTGCTCACAAGCTATGCCAGTCATCTGGTGGGCGGGTCACTGTCACCGAGGTGCTGGCAGGACTTGGAGTACCTCCCGGTGGGGGTCCAAATGGGAGGGGGGTAGGGGGTGCCAGTTTGGAGGCCACTGGAGAGGGCCTGCTTCGTTTGCTTTTCATTTTAAGCGTATTAGAAAATGTGTTTCAAATTTCCTTGTAGAAAGTTTAGGTAATACAAATAAGCATAAAGAGGAAGATAAAAGTGTTTCTCCAAGCTACAACTAGGTTTATGACTTTCTTCTTGCATATGAATGTGTGTATTTATAAATTTACATATATATGTGTGCGCACACACACACACACACACACACATTTTTCCTTGTAAAATGAAATCATAGAGTATATATGTTTGGGAGCCTGCTTTTCTCACTTAACAGTATGCTTTGATCTTCACTCCATGCTAATATGCATATGGTATCCATTCTTATGCAATCCATAACAATCCTCTGTAGGGAAGAAATGCACAGTCTTCTGTTGTGGTAGTTTCCTAACTTGAACATATCTGAGGTGTAGTATTATTTGTTGAGTACCTGATATGGGCCAGACATGGTTCTAAACTCGGGATGCAGCTCCAATACAACTCAGTGTTGGTTTTTTTTTTTGTTTTTTTTTTCCTGGCTCAGCGCCACTTTGTTTTTCATAAAAAGAGGTTCATGTTGCCCATTTCCAGGCCAACATGGGTTTCTGAGGGCACCTGGGAGGGCTTCCAGCAGCCCTGGACACTTGGTGGGGGCACAGGGCAGCACACAAACTCCTACCTTCTCTGTCCCAAGTAAGCTCTGAGTACAAGTATGAGTAGGAATGGGCTGGCATGTGGGTGGCTGGCCTTGCCCACACTGTAGGGCACAGCCTGTCTTGGATGTTGCTTCCTCCCAGCCTGACCCTTTTTGTACAAAGCTTTTAGTGTCCAGGAGCCTAAGACCAGGAGAAATGGGGGGCTCTGGGGCCCCCGTGCCTGTGATGACAGTGTTGATTGTAGAGGGCTCCTTGAGGGTGTCTCACTCTCTGGGCCAGCAGAGTCGTTGTCCCCTCCTCCATCAGAGCAGGACTTTGCAGGCTCTTGGGAGGCCATTTCCAGAACCCTATCGGATATTCTTCGGAGCTCTGTCTCCAGGCTGGGATTAGTGGATGGGCTCAGTCTAAGCCAGGCAACACATTCCAGAGAAATGACAGTTGGTATTTGCATAAGGAAGGAACCTGGGTGTTTCTTCCGATGTGCCACAAGGCATGGACCGTGGACGGGGGGCCAGGGCGGTGTGAAAGGAGGAGAAGCTTTCCCCTCCCTTGAACTCGTGCAGCTGTCAGCACACAGGGGAGAAGCGCTGGGTCCCCCACTTCCAGCCGTGTCTGGTCTGTCTCCTGCTGACATATAGAACGTGCTCTCCTGAGCGAGTCAAGCCTCTGAGAGATAAGGAACAGACACCATGCCTGTGGAAAGGACTGAGTGAGCCACAAGAAAGGATTTCTGGGGCGGAGATGCAGTATGGCAAGGCTGGGTGCAGACCTGTGGCTGCAACAGGGAGGACCCGGACCTGCCTCAAAGCTAGTTAGTCCCGCCCCCCTTCTCTCTGCGATTTGCTTTCCTCTGCTTCCCTCACATGATGTACCCCTTAGCTTAATACTCCCTACCCGACTGCGGATTCTGGGCTGAAAGCTCTTGTCCTGTGTATCTCCGGGCCCCTGATGTATGTAGGGCACTGATGGGCGTGCTGCTGGCTCTGTAGACATTGGGCAGGAACACGAACAAATGACGTCACTTACTTCTTCTCTCCTCTTTCTGATACAAGAACCCATTTGGGGGTGGGGGTTGTGGCTGAGCTTCTTGGAGCCTTGCCTGGAACGATAGAGGATTGGAATTTCTTCTGAAAAGGTGAGGTGAGGAATGGTGGGTGTGATGACCTAACATTAGTCAGCTCAGACCTAGAGACGTTCGATGAGGCTTACATTTTGGGGGGAAGCACTTTTTTGTTGTTGTTAATTCCTCATCTGAGGACATTTTTTCCATTGATTTTTAGAGAGAGTGGAAGAGACAGAGAGAGAAACATCAACGTGAGGCACATTGATTGGTTGCCTCCTGCATGCGCCCCAAACAGTGCTGGGGATCAAGCCTGAAACCCAGGCACGTGCCCTAGCTAGACGAAAATTTCTTCGGGAAAGGTGGTGTGGAATGTGGAGATGATCTAACCACTGAGCAAGCTGGGCAGGGCAGGGCAGGGAGGGAGCATTTGTATCTTCTTTATTTTCCTTGTTTGCTTTAAGTAAATTTCCTGTGGGGCTTGGCTGAAATAGCAGGAAGAGGAGGGACTGGCAGTTGGTATTTGCATGATGTGTGCTCGGACGGGTGCTGGTCCTCCATCACGCCCAGGCTGCATGGCTGAGCTCAAAACGGCGGGCGCTCGAAGCTTCTGCGGTGTCCTTAGGCCCCCTGCCAGCGGGGCTTGCCCAGGTTGTGCCTGCTGCCTTCAGAGCTGGTCTGGCTCTTCTAGGCTGGTGAGGAGGCAGCAGCTGGCCTCTTACCCAAATCAGCCTGGGGTTTGGGTCCTCTGTGGCTGATGTGCTTTTGTATCTGGTGTGCCTAGTGCAGTGCCTGGCATATGTGAGTCTTTTTTTTTTTTTTTTTTTAATATATTTTATTGATTTTTTACAGAGAGGAAGAGAAAGGGATAGAGAGTTAGAAATATCGATGAGAGAGAATCATCAATCAGCTGCCTCTTGCACACCCCCTACTGGGGATGTGCTCCCAACCAAGGTACATGCCCTTGACCAGAGTCGAACCTGGGACCTTTCAGTCCTCAGGCCAATGTTCTATCCAGTGAGCCAAACTGGTTTCGGCTTATGTGAGTCTTTAGTAAATATTAGTGAATGGTGCCTTGCCAGTGAGGACAGCATCTGCCAAGAGCCCAGACTGCGGCCAGGTACAGACCGGCAGGGGTCTGTTTTTATTCCTCTTCGGGCCAGCCGTCAGCTGTACACTTCATTTTGGGTGTGGGTGCCTCGAGTAATATTCTGTCGGTGTCCTTTTCTGTCACCGTCTCTCCTCTGATGTCATTCTTCTGCGGGCAGGGGCTGCGTGTTATATCTGGGTCCCCAGCACCTGCACTGTCTTGGTATGGGAGTTGGAAGGAAAGACAGAAACAGATAAACAGTCTGTGAAACAAGGAGGTGTTGGCCCGAATCTCAGACTTACCGATGGTTAGAACCAGAGGTGACCATGCTTTCCCAAAATTAGCTTTCACATATTGCCAACGGCGGCCAGGAGCCAAGAGGGCAGAGTCTTTCCCAAGGACACGTGGCCCTAGTTTACCCCCTGATGGTCCTGAGTATCCTTAGCTTCTGTGTGCTAGTCAGGGTTTTTGCATGTTTGAATGTGTATGTGAGCAGTGCACATGTGTATGTGTCTCCTCACCTAATTTTTTTTTTTTTTTTACTGTTGATCCAGTGCCTGTTACTGAACACCTTGCAGACACTACCCTTTGTGACCATGGAACTCCAGGTGTCCGTGTTGCTGGTGGCCTGGTTTGGTGGCCTGGGCTGTGTGCAGGCTGAATTCTTCACCTCTATCGGTATGTGCCCACAGGACTGCACCTACCTGAGCAAGATTTGGCTCGAGTGCCAGGGTGAGATGGCCTCACCCACTGGTTTTGACCAGTTCTAGGGGGAGTGGGACTCGCAGAGCTGCCAGTTCCTCTCTGAGGCCCTGAGGACCTGGTTGTCGGGGAGCCAGCTGTCTCAGCCGGGCCCCCTCCCTGGGAAGCGAGGGCTCCTCCTGGGCTGCCTGGCCTTCCTATCTCTCTCCCAGACCAGAGAATGGTTCCGCACAGAGAACATTCTGAGGCTGGTGGATCCAGCTCTTCTCCTTCTGGCCTAAAGACTCAGAGCTTGTTTCCATGTGATGAAGGTTCCAGGATGTCCATGCTCCAGTGACATGACCCATCTGTGTGATGGTGAAAGAATGAGATTTGGGGTTTCTTTCCTAAGGCACCCCCAGTGCATTGACCTCATATCCCCTAGGGCCTCAGCTCTCTTCCTGGAGCTGGAGGCCAGAACCATGTGAGGGCCTAGGTCCCCTTTAACTCCTAGTCCCCTCGAGAGCTGACCTGCTTGGGGCCCAGGGACCTGCCTCTGTGAGGATGTTCTCTGCCCCAAAGAAGGGGACTGGGCATCTCTCAGCCATTTCTCTCTCTCTCTCTCTCTCTCTCTCTCTCTCTCTCTCTCTCTAAAATATATTTTAATGATTTTTTTTTCCCACAGAGAGAAAGGGAGAGGGATAGAGAGCTAGAAACATCGATGAGAGAGAAACATCGACCAGCTGCCTCTTGCACACCCCCCACTGGGGATGCGCCCGCAACCAAGGTACATGCCCTTGACCGGAATCGAACCTGGGACCTTTCAGTCTGCAGGCCGACGCTCTACCACTGAGCCAAACCGGTTTCAGCTCTCAGCCATTTCTCACTGGCCCTTTCTCCTCTCCCTGCAGGGCACATGACAGACCTGATCTACGCAGAAAAGGACCTGGTCCAGTCTCTGAAGGAGTACATCCTGGTGGAGGAAGCCAAGCTCTCCAAGATTAAGAGGTGTCAAATGTCCCAGGTCCCCACAACTGCCCTGAGCCAGCCCTCCTGCCCCCCAGGGGGCACCCATAAGAGGAAGCCAGGCGGTTACTTCATGCCAGTCCTCCAGGGTGGCTCTAACGGGCTGAGGACTCTGCTTTTCCTTTCTATTTAAGAGTCTCTTTGTATACATTGGGGTCCCAGATTTTATCTAGATTAAGGGGCTGGAAGGATTGTGGGGAATTACGTATTCATTTTTGTTGTTTTTGTTAATCCTCACTGGAGGATGTTTTTCCACTGATTTTTAGAGACAGTGGACGGGAGACACATCAATTGCTTCCCTCACATGTCCCAATTGGGGCCAGGGACGGAGCCTGCAACTGACAACCTAGGTACATGCCCTTGCCTGGAATTGAACCTGGGACCCTTCAGTCCGCAGGTTGACGCTCCATCCACTAAGTCAAATCAGCTAGGGCTTCATATATATATATATATATATATATATATATATATATATATATATATATATATTACTGATTTCAGAGAGGAAAGGAGAGGGGGGGAGAGAGAAAGACCATATATGATAAGAGAGAAACATTAATGTACTGTCTCCTACATGCCCCCTACTGGGGATCGAGCCTGCAACCCAGGCATGTGCTCTGACTGGGAATCAAACTGTGACTTCCTGGTTCATAGGTCAACGCTCAACCACTGAGCCACACTGGCTGGGCTGTATTCATTTCTGATTGCCTCTTGATGAAAAGCATCGTACATCTCACCAGGAAAATTACCCCAGGTCAAGACCCAGGTGGTGGGGTGAGTGTATCAATCCTTTTCCTCTGGTTCCACAGCTGGGCCAGCAAAATGGAAGCCCTGACCAGCAAGTCGGCTGCTGACCCCGAGGGCTACCTGGCCCACCCTGTGAATGCCTACAAACTGGTGAAGAGGCTGAACACAGAGTGGTCCACACTGGAGGACCTTGTCCTGCAGGACTCCGCGGCAGGTGAGGGGCGGGGAGCAGGCCTTGGGTGAGCAGACGTGTTTGTGTGCTCGCGCCTGGGGAGCGTGTGTCTGAACGTGTCCCGGGACTGGGTGGGGTGGGCATGTGCAGTGTGTGAACAGGCACCCTGTCACCTCACGATGCTCTTCACCTCTGCGGGACCTGGCAATTGGGTCTTTGCTTTTTGATATGTACTAGCAATCAGTTCTTGCCTTTCTCTAGTGTTTTCACTTCTCTTTTTGGATAGGATTTTTTTTTTTTCTAATTGTACTTTAGCAATACATTTTTATAAAAAAGTTGGAAAATACACAAACAATCCCATAAGGAAATTATATTTCTTAATCCAGTTGCCTAATGATAAGCACTTAAATTCCAGTGTTTTTACACATGCCTATACTTGAAAAAAAAAAAAAAAAAAAAAGCACCACAAAAGGAGTCATACATACTAGTATATGCCAGGGATGCAAGCTCACCTGCTCTGAGGGAACAAATGATCTAAGAGAAGTGAGTCAGGTGGCTGGGTGCTGGGACCAGCTCAAGCCTCATCTAAATTCATTCCCATTCATACCTTTTATTTTGTTGTGTGTTTTTTTTTTAACTCCCCCCCTTCATTTATATTTTTAAATATGAAACATATCTTTTGACGGATTTGTGACCTAAGATTATACTGTTTCCCTGAATTTTGCAGCTTCTCCATATGTCCATTAAATGTTCTTCCGAAACATCATGTTCATGGCTGGGCAGTAATGTGTCAACTGATGATGTGTAAACTGGTCACGTCAGTGGACGTGGCACTGCTTCCAAATCATCCGCTGTCTTGCACATACCCCTTTGGTCATTTCCCTAGCATTCATTCCTAGAAGTGGTATTTGCAGGCCCTGGAACTTCTTTGAAACTTTAACTGTGCTTTGTGCTTTCACTGTGACAGGACTTTCTATGCTTTAACGTTTTCCTCTCCACAGGAGACGGTGGGGTGGGCCGTCCTGCCCCGAGTTGGGAATGCTGATTAACTTCGGTCTGCTTGTTCCTCTGGCTGAGGCATCTCAGCCCATGTGGCCAGACTGGGTTGGGCTTGGCTGGAGGCAGGGCGGCCTCTGGGGAGAGATTGGTGAGCTCAGCAGGGCTGGAGCCGTGCCCAGTGAGCTCACTGCTTCCAGAAGCTGTGGCTGCCTTTCCCAGACCCCTGCCTCCCAGCCTGGGCCTGCAGCTCGGAACTGACTGTTCTCCACACGGTGGACGGTTAGGCCCGCTTAGATGACCACCTGCTCGGATGACCTCCTGTCTGCTTGGATGACCTCCCACTCTCCATTCTTGTTTTCCATGCCCCACCCCCACCATCAGCATCTGTTTTCTCGGCAAAATCTTAGAATTCCCTGGAGGAGACAAGATAGGCCCATAGAGCAATAGGTCCTTTTCACCCCTGCCTTTCAGAGTTCTTGCCCCTGAACGGAGGGGTCATGTTGCCAGCGTGCCTTTTTTTCTGCGGGGGAGGGGAGGGTATTTTTTTCTTTTACTGGATTATAAACTAGCGTCCTGACTGCAGTCATGAGGAAGACAGCATTGCGGCTTCCTGGTCCGTGGGTCCCCAGGCAAGGCTAGGAGTGGATGTTTGAGCCCGAGGCTGTGGGAGCAGGTGGCTGTGGGTGCTGCTGTTTTGGGGAAGAGGCTGGGAAGAAATGGCTTTGGAGTTCCCCTCCCAGTCCTCAGGTCACAGGCAGAATTGTAACCTGCACGAAGGTTCTTCCTCCTGTTGGAGCCCTGAGGTTGCAAGAGGTGCAGATCTTGCTTTACAGCGAGGGCTTGCAGTCCCAGAACAGTCTCCTTAGGGTACTTCTGAGGTCAGGGACTCCCTCAGCCTCCAGGATGTGGTCTTGAGCACTACAGTTGGGGAGCTCCTGCCCTGTGGTCACAGCAGGTCAGAGCAAGGCCCAATATGGGCTGGTGCAGCCTCACCGGTCTGGCCTGGTCTGGCTCCAGGATACCTGGTCCCTAATCCAGGGGCTGCAGATAGTACCTTGCCTCTAGGACTGCCATCATCATTTTTCTGGATGATAAGAGCTGGTGGTCAGTAATGAGTGGTCAGTTGGGCTCCCTGAGGAGACTACCTCTATCCCTTGGGCTCCTCAAACTTGAGACGAAGGCTAGCAGTCTGTGTTTACGTGGTCAGCCCAATATTCCTGGATCCAGGTTTTCCATGTGACTCATTTCCCCCTGAGTGGCCAGCAGGGCCTCCCTGATTCCCTCTTAGCTGCCCTGTCTGGCCTCCATCTCTCCGTGTCCACTGGTCAGACTGAGTGCTCTGGAGCCAAGACTCCCCCATGTCAACCAATGCATGGGGCCATCCTTCTGTTCATTTCCAAACTACCAGCACTACAGTGAGGATCAAGAAAGGAGAGATCTCCATGGACTGGGGCCATTGGGAGGGCTTCCTGGTGGAAGGGAAATAGCCTTTGATGGGGGAGCAGGGACATTGCAGAGACCCTCCAGTGAGACCCTTTCTGGTCTCAGGTGGAATTCTGCCCCTGGATCAAGGGTAACTTCTTGTTCTCACTCTCTCACTTGGAAGGTTTTATTGCCAACCTCTCTGTGCAGCGGCAGTTCTTCCCCACTGACGAGGACGAAACGGGCGCCGCCAAGGCCCTGATGAGGCTTCAGGACACGTACAAGCTGGACCCGGACACGATTTCCAAAGGGGAGCTCCCAGGTAACTCGCCACTCTGGGCTGTGCCTGTCCAGTCCAGCCTGTGATTCTGCTACAGGGTCTGCGCGGGGTTGGAGCCACTGCCCGCTTGTGGTCTCTCCCGCAGGTGGACCATCACCTCTGGGGGAGAGCCTCTCTTGGGTTTCCAGTTGGTGTCAGTCTCCCTTTCCCATGGAAGCCTCTCCCCAGAGCCCTGGCCCACAGCCTCCCTCCCTGTATCGGCCAGTTCCTCTCATTCTGTACCTCAGAGAAAGCTGAGGCTCTGCCCAGACCCACTTCTACCCCTCCCTTTGATTTCTTCTTGCCCAAGACTGATCTCTTGACTCCCATCCTGTGTCCCATGTGCCCTCAGTTGCAGTTCTGTCCCTTTCATTCTGTGTGTACCGCTCTGGGCCCTGCCGACCCCTGAGCTCACACACAGCTCTGTTCTAGCTTATCTTACAAACCTTCCCTCAGGATCCAAGGCCCTTCTGAGTTTCTCCTGCTGATCCAGTTCTTTTCCCTCCTAGTGGAGCTGCTGAGCAGACATCTAGTTTCTCCCCTCTCCCCTCTTCCTTGATTCCCATGCCCTCTGAACGCACAAAGTTTGGCCTCTCCCTCCCCTCTCCTGTCCACCAATCCTGTAGCTGTAAGGTCACCAGTGGCCAGTCAGCCTGTAAAACCAGAGGATCGCTTTCAGGCATGAAGTTCTTTAACTTTTCTGCAGCATGTGAAACACCTCTTTTTAACTTTTCTGCAGCATGTGAAACAGGCCTCTTTCTTCCTGATATCCCCCCTTCCTTTGGATTCTGGGACACTGATCTCTGCCCTTTCTCTTTTGGCCTCTATTGTCATAGTCTGTTGTGTGTTTTTTTTTGTTTTTTTTCCTCTCTCTCTGTCCCACCCCCTCCTCCCACCCCCACGGCCCCTTCCCACTGATTGCCCCTGTGTATTTATAAGAAGACATGGAAGATATATTGGGTTTGGGGAGGGCATTAGAGGCCAATAAACTCAGAATTCAGTTAGACTCCATTAAACCTTGGATGCCGCCTCACCCAGAGGGACCCTGAAGGAGATATGAGCGCAGGAATCGTGGTTTGTGGGAGAAGGAGGCTCCTGTTGTTGGGTGGTCAAGGCCTAGAGCCCTAGTACTGAGGTCTGTGAACCAGCACTTTGGGGTGTAGGCTTCTCTTTAGACATCCAGGCCACGAGACCAGAGAGAAGGCAGCTCAGAGCAGTGAGAAGAGGGAACCAGCAGGCAATGGTCTTTTACCTTCAGTTAACAGACCCGTCTGCGTCCTAGAGGAGTGAGAGGTGGAGGGAGTTGTTCCCTAGAATTCCAGCCCTACCTCGTGTCCTCCCTACATACCTTCTCCACGTGAGCCCAGCCGTTTCCATCATTTGAGGTATCACCTGTACACGGATGACATCAGATCAGTGTTCCTTGTCATGGCTTGTCTCCTGAGCTTCCAGCCAGTGTAGGCAAATGCCTATGGGACATCTCTACTGGGATGTTCCATTGGGCTCCTCAAGATTCACATGTCCCAAACTAAAATCCTCATCCTTCCTATGGCTGTCTATCCCTCTCCCTCACCCTTTATCTCAGCAAAAAGCACCTCCATCCAGACCTGGAGAGTATCATGTTAAGTGAAACAAGTCAGTCAGAGAAAGACAAGTGTCACATGATCTCACTCATATGTGGAATCTAATCAACAAAATAAGCTGATGAATGGAGTGGGTCCAGAGATATGGAAGCATGGAAGAGAGTGTGGAATCTCAGAGGGAAAGTGGAGGAGGGTGGGTGGGTGGGAGATAATCAACCAAAGATCTTGTATTCATATATGCATAACCCATGGATGCAGATGGTGGGATGGTGAAGGTCTGGGGTGGGGTGTGGGGTGGGCTGGATGAGGCCGATGGGGGAAAGCAGGGAACATATGTAACACTTTCAACAATAAAGATTAAAAGAAAAATAAAGAGCTAGTTTTCTCCCATAAAAAAAAAGGCACCTCCTTCCATTGGCTGCCAGAACCAGAATCCTAAGGCCTGTAGGTTCCACCTCCCTAATGTCTTCGGTACTTGGAGGCGCTGACTCCAGCCTCTGATCACTTCCTTCTCAATTGTGTTGTTGCAGTACAATCGTGACTTGAGTATCTCCAGCTCACGTGGTCAATTCAGGGCTAAACCTAAGTTCCTCCTATGAGTCGTGTTTGAGGTCCTCAGGGCCTTATCTCTCTGGCCGCCCTGCCCATTGACCGTGCTAAGCTTCCTCACCGCTCCGCTCCTCTGTTCACCCCACGCCCCCTGCAGGAACACCTTCACCCACATCACCGGGCTCCATGTCTGATTGCCCTCAGCACTCAGTCAGCTCAGCTGGCACTCCAGGGAGCACAGTTGCAGGGGGTAGATAAGGTTGGCTTCTGGGAAGATGCTGAGTACCTGTGAATCATTTGTTACATTCCTGGCGCCTGTGAGACAGGTCGATAAGAGCTATAGATAATTATAATCCTAGGGATCACAGGAGATATCTTCACACATAGTTTCTTTGAATTCTTGGCACAAATCCTCCAAAATCGGTGTTATTATCTCTATTTAGAGATGAGAGGACAAAGACTCCGAGAGGCTGAGTAACTTGTCAGTAGTCACACAGCAGGTGGGGGCCATAGGGAAACCCACCCTGTCCCTGTCCCAGAGCCCCAGCCCTCTCAGCTTGTTACACTGCCTCCATCAACGCGGGTTCCTGGGCCCACAGAGCAGGGGAGCTCTGTGGAGCTCCGTGGAGCATGGACAGGGGCTCAAGGAACCGCCTGCCCTGACACAGAGGCTCTGGCCTGCCTGCTGGCTCCATCTTGTATGTACTGTTCCCAACTTCCTACTGGTCTGCCTGCTGGCTCCATCTTGTATGTACTGTCCCCAACATTGTTCCCGAACCACCAGGGCCAGCAGGCTCTGGTCTCCGAAGCAGCCAACCCTTTGCGGCAGGGGTCTCATTCTATGCAGAGCCCCATCTTGGACAGAAAGAGCCCACTAAGAGGCTCTTTCAGCCGTGGACACATGACATGGACACATGTCAGCCATGTCCCAGTGACCGTTAGCAGGGTTGTAGGGAAGCTCCTTGTTTCCCAGGGCGGGGAGGGGGGTCACAGCTCCTTGTTTCCCAGGAGGGGGGTCACAGCTCCTTCTTGCTCTCCATAGGTCCTGCTTTCATTGTTCTCTGAGGAGCACACACACGGCCCCTCCCACCTTGCCCCACCTTAAAGCCTGCATCTCCCCGGCTAACACACCACATCTTCTCGATTTTAAACTATTTTCACTGTCATTTTCCAGACCTGAAATGATGCTCAGCAAGTTCCCTGCCACCTAACGGCCAGAGCTGGCACTGCAGCCTTGGCTCTTGGCCTCGCTTGGTGTCTGTCTCATGGCTCCTGCTCCTTCTTTTTCTTTTACCTCTTAGGTCAGTGGTTGGCAAACTCATTAGTCAACAGAGCCAAATAGCAACAGTACAACGATTGAAATTTCTTTGGAGAGCTGAAAACCGACTTCTGCGCATGGGCCAAGAAGTTTCAATCGCACTGTACGTGTGTGCCCGCCTGTGGTATTTTGTGGAAGAGCCACACTTAAAGGGCCAAAGAGCCGCATGTGGCTTGTGAGCCTTAGTTTGCCGACCACTGTCTTAGGTCCATCCTGGTGTTATTCTTCCTCTGTCCTTTCCGTATAGGTGCATCCTGGGGCTCTGGTCTCAGCTACCTTCCTTACTGTTTCCTCAGACTCTTCCTAGAAGCAGTTATCCTCATCCATGGCTTCACATGCCACCCAAGTTCTGTTTTTTATGTTCAACTAATTTCTTTAACTCTCCAGACTCACATGTCCAGCTGCCCAGCAGGAACCTTCTGTGTGGCTCACAGGACACTCATGCTCTCCTGAAAGCTACTTGTTGGTGTGTTTCCCGGGCTCCTCTGTAGCAAAGGCCCCTTCCCCCTGGGAGGAGGGGAGTCTGAGGCTAGGAGATTGGCTGTGAGCTCCAACCCAAGGTAGGGCCAGCTGGCTGTGCTCGCTGTAGCCATGGCCCTTTGCGGTGTGTGGTCTGAAGCCCTGGTAAGGCTCTCTGGGCTGATGCTGCCAGCCAGCGGCCCAGGCCTCCTCGACGTGGCCATCTCTGACCCTGACCCAGAGGCTTTTTGGTGCCTGAGCGTTTGCCTGTCCTGCTGCAGGAACCAAGTACCAGGCGGTGATGAGTGCGGACGACTGCTTTGGGATGGGCCGCTCCGCCTACAACGAGGGGGACTATTACCACACGGTGCTGTGGATGGAGCAGGTGCTGAAGCAGCTGGACGCTGGGGAGGAGGCCGTCGCCACCAAGGCCCAGGTGCTGGACTACCTGAGCTACGCCGTCTTCCAGCTGGGCGACCTGCGCCGCGCCCTGGAGCTCACCCGCCGCCTGCTCTCCCTGGGTAAGGAGGTTCTAGGGGAAGGTCGGGGGGGGGGGGGGTGGGCAGCCGGCAGAACTGGTAACTCTACTGGCCACCACCTGGCCATTCTCTTAGGATTGAGCCAGTCTGACCTGTCCACTGGCAGAGACGAATGCCTCGCTGCTTTTGGACCCAGCCCAGCGACCAGCTAGCTCCTTAACCAACTCAGTTCTGTTGAGGGAATCCTCCTTCGTTTCAGGAATCCGGCGCTGCTGTTATGAGCACCTGCTCCTACGCAGGATGGGGGTTTCACTGTAGTTTGAGAGGAAGCTGTACTCCAGGGTGGCTGCAGTGACAATGACCTGACCCTATAGGCAGAGGCCTGAGGCCTAACTGGTGGACTTGCCATGGCATTAGTGTTTTGGGTCTCTTGTGCTATGGGACTGAAGGAGATCAAAAGCACTGTTTTTGCCCTGGCCGGTGTAGCTTCGTGGTTAGAGGGTTGGCCCACAGACCAAAGGGTCACAGGGTCAATTGCCGGTACCTGGGTTGCAGGTTCGATGCCAGTTGGAACATGTGCAGGAGGCAACCCAGTCGATATTTCTCTCTCACGTAGTTTTTCTTTCTCCCACTCCTTCTTCTTCTTTCCCTCCCTCTCTCCCTTCACTCTAAAAACCAATGGAAAAATATCCTGGGGTGAGGACTAACTAACTTAACTAACTAAAGCATCCTTTTAGTAATGTGGAAACATCACAGTCTGGGATTTCATAGACCAGCAAAGACTTTCTTTTGCTGATGCTTTTCACGCATCTGATGTCAACTAGCAGAGGAGTGTCCAGCAAGACTGATGTGGGCAGAGAGCTTTGTCGATTCTGTCATGTTAGTAAGAGCCTCGGTCGGGGAGTCGGGAAACCTTCGGGCTTGAGTTTCCTTGTCCGAGGGGCACAGGAACCACGCCACACGTGCTCCTCGTGTGGTGAAGTGGTGGCAGTGTCACGGAGCTCTTCGTTTTGCCAGGACTTCAGCCTGCCTTCTCGCTGTGCCCGCACGCGATGTGGTCACCAGGGGAGGGGACAGGTGTCACTGGCACACAGCCAAGGCGGGAGAGGAGGCGGGACTCCGGACCTGTGTGCTTGGGACCTCTTGGGAGGTGGGAGAGGACGGCCGCCTCAGTAGCCAGCCAGGGGTGCCCCCTTTGTTGCTTCTTTCTCGTCACTGAGCAGAACAGAGAGGACATCGGCCGGATTTTCTGCTCTGGCCCGCGAACCCGGTGAGGTGCCATAGAAGGCAGGATGCTGCCTGCCCGTGAGCTGCTGAGAGAGACGCTGCTTATAGAGCCATTTCTCTAAACGACCTGACAGATGTTTGTGGTTTCCTTTTCCTCCTTGTTCTTTGCCTTTCCTAGACCCGAGCCATGACCGAGCTGGAGGGAATCTGCGTTACTTTGAACAGCTGCTGGAGGAAGAAAGAGGAAAGACGGCATCAAATCAGACAGAAGCTGGACAGGCGCCCCGGGACGGCGTCTACGAGAGGCCTGCGGACTACCTGCCCGAGAGGGACGTCTACGAGAGCCTCTGCCGTGGGGAGGGTGTCAAACTGGTGAGACACGTGGGGGATCAGGGGCCCGGGCGGTGGGCCCGGGCTTCGGCTCTGGACAGGCAGATTTGGGGCGGAAGTTTCTCTGTGGGTCATTTTTCAGCATCTTCCCTAGTTCTTTGTAGTATCCGCTGAGGGTGACCGTGTGGACGCTGTTTGAGACAAAGGACGGGAAACTTTCTCCCTCATATCTCAGGCAGATTTTCAATCCTCTTCAGTGTTTCCCAAACTTTTGACACATGTGTACCCCTCGTACTCATGAGAACGTAGGATTAGGGGCAGCTAAGCACGGTGCAGTGCATATCTCCACCAAACTCCAGTGCAACGTGTGCCCCCACCAAACTCTTCCCGTACCTCTGGGGGTATGTGTAACACACTTTGGGAAACGTTGCTTTATTACTGAGCTTCCCTCCCCACCCCAACATGCCCGGTTTCTGTTGGGAGGAAAACCCTGAATGTGGACGTAGCTCAGGCCCCAAGGGAAGTCCTGGTCTCTGTGGTAGAGACAGGACAGTTGCTGGATCTCAGCAGTTGCTAGAATTTGGTGTCGGGTATCCTTGGCCTTGAGGGCCCTGGCATCCTGGTGCTTCCTCAGGGAGGCTCAGGTGTGGGCAGTCTGGGCCGTTTCCAGGCCTGAACGCCTCGCTCCCACTGGCCTTTCCCCCTGGGAAGGCTCCCCATGCCCCAGCCCTTTACACCTGCTCACATCTCCGTGCAAAAGGTCGGGGTCGCCCTGTGCCACAGAACGTGGGAACGGGGAAACCTTGCCTGATGTTTGGGGTATCATTTTATGCCATCAAGCTGAGGGGTTTTGCTTTTTTCTGTGGTGGTGGTGGGAGGAGCCGCTGCTGGATACAGGGCGTGAGACCAGCGTCTGCTGCCAGCCAGCCTGGGGCAGGGATCAGGGCTCCCTCAGCTCAGGGTTGTCGCTCTGTGCTCCGCAGACACCCAAGAGGCAGAAGAGGCTTTTCTGTAGGTACCACAATGGCAACAGGACGCCCCAGCTGCTCATCGCCCCCTTCAAAGAGGAGGACGAGTGGGACAGCCCGCACATCGTCCGGTACTACGACGTCATGTCTGACGAGGAAATCCAGAGGATCAAGGACATCGCAAAGCCCAAAGTAGGTGTCTCTGCAGGCCCTTCTCGGGTCACTCATTCCTGGCACCGTGGGCGGTTCGTCGCTTCCCCAGCTGGCCTTGGCCGGTGCCCAGCATGAGCCCGCTGTGGGGGTGCTGAGGTGCTGCAGACTCAGTGTGACCTTGTGGGTATGGTGGGGAAGAAGACTGAGGAACCGGTGTGGACGGCCGGGTCAGCTGAGCAGAGCACAGCTGTGAGGATAGAGGCACACGGGGGCCAGGGCACGGTGAGAAGTGTCCGCTCACCTGTTGGAGCTGGCGTGTGTGGGTGAGATTGTAGGGGGTGCTGCCCGGCAGGGTCCTATGGAGCTCCTGGTCAGGGCTGCACAAGAGAAGAGGGATCGTTGTTACATCATTGAGTCTTCTCCTCCAAGTGCCTTCTGGGTGTCCTCACTGATTCATATCTCTTACAGTTGTCTTCATCAAGCCCTGCATATTTCTTCTTATGTTTACTCCTAGATAGTTTTCTTATTACTGTAACTTCGCTTTGTTTCTTCGTAGTTATATGTTTACTGGTCGCATTGTTATATTAGTTTGCGATGATATGCTGAACTGTTGATTGTAGATTTCATAGTAATAGCCAATATTGACCGAGTTCTTGAGTGTGACAGGCCCTGTCCTCGGTGTGAGGTCTGCTAAGCGGGCTGTGTCATAACGTTCCTCTTCCCCACGCGGAAACTGAGACTCGTGCAGGTCACAGCCTGTCCCTGAGCTTACTCCTCTCTCCTCTTTCGGTCTTCAACCCATTCTCTTGGGTTGTTCAGATAGTCGTATCAAAAATTTTGTCTTCTTCTTAATATTCATAGTTCCTTTGTTTTCAATGCCTACGTGAGCTGCCCAGAACTTGTGGAGCATTGAAATAAGAGGCATCCTTGTCTTGTAACTAACTGGGAATTCTCCTGATATTTCACTGCTAAGTGTGCAGTTGGCTATTAGTTTTGTATATGTGTCATCATAAGATAAAGTTACCTTTCTATTCCTAGTTCATAAAAGACTTGCTTCCATGTGACATCTGTGTGTGTGTGTGTGTGTGTGTGTGTGTGTGTGTGTAACGGGGTGCACACATACACATGTGTGGCAGGAGGCACGTGCATGCGTGCACCCCGTTACACACACACACACACACACACACACACACACACACACGTTTCACTGCCCGGGTCTAAGGAACACGTGAGGAATTTCTCAGGAGATTCTGACACAGCAGAGGGATGTGGCAGCAAGCAGTTCTCTTTGAAAGATGTCACATGGAAGCAAGTCTTTTATGAACTACAAATAGAAAGGTAACTTTACCGTATGATGACACATATACAAAACTAATAGCCAACTGCACACTTAGCAGTGAAATACCAGGAGAATTCCCAGTTAGTTACAAGACAAGGATGCCTCTTTATTTCAATGCTCTACAAGTTCTGGGCAGCTCACTAAGGCATTAAAAACAAAAGAACTACGAATATTAAGAAGACAAAATTTTTGATCCGACTATCTGAACCCAAGAGGATGTTGAGAAAGCCTGCCTTTGAGCAGGAGCCGTGTGAGAGCCACACGTGCTGGCCGCGCCTCTTCCGGAGCCGGGCGGCGGATGCGCAGCCGGCTTTGAAGTGGGGCCCAGGAGCTCCGTTGGCCGGCGGGGAATGCTCGCAGCTGCCGGGGTCCCCAGTCTGTTTTCAAAATAGCCCGTGGGTCCCGGGAGCAGCGCCCAGCTGTCAGGTCTCCCGTGGGGGCAGGCGGAGGGAGGCTCTGATGCTTGGTCGGGGTCGAGCTGCCCCCGCAGTTGTCACCAGGGAGGAGCCGTGGGGGGCGCTCAGGGAGCCCCTGCCGGGTGCACCGGCCATCCTGCCAGAACGTGCAAGGGCCTCAGAGTGTCCGGTTGGTTGATCGTACCTCCTGACCACCCCTGGTCCATCTGCTCCTCTCCACCCCTTCTGCTCCCCCTGCCCAGACTACCAGCACTCCTTGCCCTCACTTCTGCCTTGTCTTCCCCGCTGGCCTCCTTGTTCCCACTGTGGTTCCTCCTTACACAACTGTGCACGAGGTGTCCGCAGGGCTGCTTCTTACATTCAGGCTGTGAGGGTCCCTGCCCTGGATGAAAGCCCTGGTTTGTGATTTGCAACAAGATCACATCTAGACCCAGCTCCTCCCCTCCAGTCCCTCCCCTCCCAACCCCGCCTCCCCCCCCCCCCCCCCACACACACTTGCCCCTTTAGCCTATTCTCTTATGTCTAACTTATAACCCACAGACATAGCACCACCCCCATTTTCATCCCTGGCCCTCTGCATGCCGTTCCTTCCTTCTTCCTGTAATGCTCCCCACTTGGCTGACTCCTGCTTACCCTTCAAGTCTCAGCTACATGATCCCCTCCTGCAGGACACCATTCCTGACCTTGCAGACTGGGCTCCCACTGACATTGAGCATGCCCCCTCCCAGCTCTCCCCAAACTGTGCTGCAGTTACCCAGCTAGTTCTCTGCCTCCCTCAGTTGTATGAGGGCAGGGGCCATGTGTTAGTGACCCAGCACAGGGCCAAGTATGTTGGAGGCACTCAGGCGATGTTTATTGGGATCCAGGGGAAGTTGGGGTGGGACATCTGGGTCTGTGGTCCCGCCCATGTGAGCTCATTAGGACAGTCTACAGCGGAAGCCCCGGGGGCCGGCTGGGAGCAGCAGGTCCTTCCCGGAAAGTATCGCTGCACCTGTCTGTGGAGACGGGGAGGGATGAGGTAGGTGAGGGCTGTGCGTGTATGTGAAGTGTACACGTGTGTATGTGAGGTGGCTGGCTTCCAGGCAGCAGTTGACTTGCGTCCCAATTCTACCATCTGGCCTTTGGAGACTTTCCCTAAGGGAGTGGAATCCATGCCTCCTGTAAGTGCTCCTGCAGCAGCGGAGCCAGTGTGAGCGGGGCAGCAGGGGGCTGTTTAGGTCTGTTTCTTGGCAGAGGAGGCCCCTGAGCTTAGCAGGACTGTGGGCTTGGCCAGGCTGAGACGCAGGGACGCTGGCCCCGTCTGAATGGCGGGAGCAGCCACGCGCAGACTGTGCTCAGGCAGGGGTGGTACGGGGGCCTGGCGGGAAAGGGGGCTGTCCGGGAAGATGGATGGATGGACAAGCCATAGGCATAACTCTGCAGACAGCGCCCACCTGAGTGACAACAAGGGCGGGTGGGGACGGAGCAGGTCAGTGGCCGGGGTCTGACAGCAGAGCAGATGTGGAAGCTCCCGACGACCTCACCGGCCTGCCTTGCAGGATGATGGGGCCTCGGCTAGAGCCGTTGTCTGCAGAGCCTCTTCCCTCACTGGCAGATCTGGTCCCAGTCTCTCGAGGAAAGCACTCAGGCAAAGAAGGCTGAGTCTGTCCTCTCTCTCTGCCTTCCAGCTTGCACGAGCCACTGTTCGTGACCCCAAGACCGGCGTCCTCACTGTGGCCAGCTACAGGGTTTCCAAAAGGTCAGCAAAGGTGATGGGGGCAGGGTGACTGCTCAAGCCCCACCTCCTGGGCCTCCCAGGCCCTACCCAGGGGTTCCTTGAGGGTGGGTGGCTTCGCGTGTCCTACCTCCCCGCCGAGAGCCCTCACCCACACTGCCTCTGGGGAGAGAGTGCAGGACCTCACCCACGCCCGGCTTCCCTTCCTCTCTGGCTCGCCCTCTTCCGCCTTAGCTCCTGGCTGGAGGAGGACGATGATCCCGTTGTGGCTCGAGTGAACCGCCGGATGGAGCACATCACAGGGCTAACAGTAAAGACTGCAGAGTTGTTGCAGGTACGGCTGGTCCCTGGGACCTGGGTTTGGGCCGGGGTATTCCTGGATACTGGGTCCAGGCTGAGGGAGGCCTGTCTAATAAGCTGCATGACTGCATACTGCTGTGACTATGGAGTGACGTCACACGGGGAAGCCAGAATTAAGCATGCCTGCGGCATTCAGCAGTTAACATTCAGCAAATATAGATTGTCTTCTAGGTGACTAGGAGCTAGAAGTCAGTGGTGAGCCTGGCAGGTCCTTCTTGTCTTCCTGAATACAGAAGCTGAAACCCTGAGTTGTTCCAGGGGACACCTCTCAAAGAGAAAACTATAAACAGCTTCAGAGGGCGTGGGGCTGAGTCCCGGGCAGAGGTCCTTGGAGGTAAAGTGCCCTGTGGTATATTGATAGACACGGGCGGCCTGGACCAGTTGGCTGGTGAAGGTGAGGGCTTTTTCTAAGTGCCCGCTCTAGAGCCTGGCTCCCTGCCCGTGGCGAAGGTGATTATGAACACACGTGGCAGCACTTGGCTGGGAAGTTTTGGATGAAGCTCCTAATGATGAAACCTCAGTCTATTGAGTTCAAGTCAGTGCTGGCCATTTTCCGAACGTCGGAACTTGTGGGTTTTGTTGTACAGTGATGGCCTGAGACGCTGGCATTTTTCTAGAATCTCCTGGATCTGTTTGGCCAGAGTTTCTACATGTTTAAGGATCTCACTCTTCACCTGTAGGCTTTATATTTGGGTCTGACCAGTCAGAGAGCTTATTAGAATATTTAACTGAAGATGATTTGGAAACGATTCTCTGAACTTGTGCCTGGACACACCCAAGCAAATTCATATTCATTCTCTCTCTCTCTCTCTCTCTCTCTCTCTCTCTCTCTCTCTCTCTCTCTCTCTCCAATTAGAAACAAATTTGAAAGTCATCTTGTCATCTTCATGGATATGTATGAAATTAACCACAGTTTAAAAAAAATTTTTTTTTATTGATTTCAGAGAGAGAGGAAAGGGGGGCGGGGGGGGAGATCAATGTGAAAGAGAAACATTGATCAGTTGCCTTCCATACACATCTTGACTGGGAACCGAACCCACAACCTGAACATGTGCTCTGACCAGCAATTGAACTGTCAGCCTTTTGGTGACACAACCAACGGAGTCATATTTGTCTGCTTTGTTCTTTAGTGCTGTCCTGGCACTTCCTTTGCCAGCCAGCAGTGCTGCAAGCTTTGATCCTACATGGTCTGGGGGACAGGCACCTGGGCTTCAGCATCTGTCTCTGAGTGCTTATTCCACGGGGACCACCTGCAGTGTGATACATGCACAGCTGGTCCCTGTGGAATGCTGCAGGCTTCTGGAAAGGAGCTGGTTCCTCTGCTACTTGTTGACATTTTTTCAGATGTAGTTGAGTGTTTGCTTTGAGGTTTTGTTGTGAACTGGATGAGGGCCCAATGCAGGAAGAGAGGCTACACTGCTGGAATTCTCTGAGATTGAAGACACTTCTAACTCAATGTCTCAGCCTCACCAAAAAAATGGGTTTTTAACTTAAAAAGAAAATTGATTTCAGAAGGGAAGGGAGAGGGAGAGAGAGACAGAAACATCAGTGATAAGAGAGAATCCTTGATCAGCTGCCTCCTGTACACCCCACCCTGAGAACTAAGCCTGCAACCCAAGGCTTGTGCCCTGACCGGGAATTGAACTGTGACCTCCTGGTTCATAAATTGACGTTCAACCACTGAGCCATGCCTGCTGGGCTCGAACTTTTTTTTTTTTTTTTTTTTTTTTTTTTTTTTTTTTTTTGTCTTCACTCTGATCTCTGCATCATAAAAACCCTGATCTTTCAAATGACTGTCTCTAAAATTCCAAAAGACTTCCTCTTCACAGGAATCAGTTTTGATGTGCCGTTGCTTGTTATTAAAGGTATGAGTCTGGGGATCAGAGTTTGTTCAGATTGCTGCACATCCAGGAGTTTTCACGACACTTTGCACTATTTGGGAACAGTATTAGATAGTGTAGGTACAATAGCGGTAGCACCAGGATCACATGTGGTTCCCCAACTGTTAAAGATAAGCCAGCCAGAGCAATGGGGCTTCTCTCACTCCCTGGGATGTGAACACGTGCAGGTGCTGGGAAGCACAGTCCTGCCCCACAGCTCCAGCGACAAGCGTGATGGAATTTTCCCGCATGCAGTGGCACGGTGATCACAGTCATGTTTAAAATTCTCTCTTAGGTTCTTGACGAGAGCAGGTCCACAGAAAAAGCACTTGTACTGTCACTTTGTCCACTGCTCTAGCATTTCCCTCCTTAGAAGCACCTCTAGCCTTCGGGCCACCTGTTGCCTCGGCCTCCTGCTCCAACAACAAGGTGGCTAGGTGTGTAGGGCATGAGGATCCTGAAGGCTGAAACAGTGGACGGCAGCATTTCTTCATCCCCTGATTCTTCAGATCAAAGTGTTTATTTTTGTAGAGACCGAAAGTCATGCTGCCCAAATTCTGCACTTCATCCCATGACACAGATATTGTTTATGCTCCAAAAGGAGGATTCTCTCTTGTAAAGTCCACCCTCCCGGCCCTCCTCCAGGTCTGAGGGCCTCCGTAGAAAAAACTGTGCAGCATTTTTCACCTGGCGGTTGAAATCGCCGAGAAGAGCACACTAAAAGTACCAATTTTCCGAGGAGGGATAACCAAGCCCACAGGGTTTTCGGGTTTCGGTAAGACACAGTAGCCACGTGTTCCCAGGTGGACTTGGATGGTGCCACTTGATCGGTCAGCTTTCATACTGAGCGTATCTCCTGAAGCTAAAGTAACTGTTGTGATTTAGGACTTACATTGGTGCTGATAAACTATTCACAAAGGCACTTACTGTTTCCGATCCCAGGAATGACACCCGGTGGTTGCTGCAGCGAGGTGGCTCGGCTTCTGTTCCCGGCCCACGCTCCTGCAGGGGCCGCCGAGGTCCGGCAGCAGCCCTGGCCGCCTGCAGCTGGCCGCCCGTGTCCCGCTGCTTCACTTGGACAGCTGCGGGATGGAGGAATTTGTCCCTCCGTGGGCACGGTGACAGACGTGGCAGGAGCAGTGCCAGGCACTGAGAAGGTCCCAAACTAGTATTAAAAAAAAAAGAAATCCCAATCTTGAGTTTGCTGTTGGCTTTCCTCTGAATTACCTTTTCATTATCTCCCAAACAGGGCTTGGGCCGGGGCCTGTCTCAAGGGCTCCCTCTGCTGCCATCTGCGTGTCCCTGCAGGGCAGGAGCTTCTCCGCAGGGGCCCGTGTTGTTTGGGAAACCACATTGGTGCTGCAGCCTGACTCCCTCTAGCGGTAGACACGGTTGCAGCCTTTGCTCTAGGCCTGTGCTGGCCTGTGCTGGCCGAGCATGGTTACCTTCTACCTTACAGAGGCTGGTCTTGTGGGTTCTGGCTTTGGGGGTTCAGGCGGTTCTCCTTGTTACCTGGGAAGATAGTACCCCTGGGGGCATGGGCTGTTTTGGGCTGTTCACGTTCCTGTTGCTTTTGAGGTCCAACGTTGTATTTCCCTCCAGGTTGCTAATTACGGAATGGGAGGACAGTACGAGCCACACTTTGACTTTTCTAGGGTAAGGCCCACATCACCGGTGCTTTCAGAGGGACCCGTTCCAGCTGGTTTGAGAAGGCTGGAGCTTCTAGAAGCACTTCAGTCTTCCCATCAGCGTCCGTTCCCCCCCCCCCCCCCTGCCCCGCCTCACCAGGGCCAACTCTTTGTTACTGGAGAAGCCCAAGTCTGTAACCAGGGCCTGCAGAGCCCTGGCTGCTTCCCCTGGGACCTGGGGGGTGTTCTTCCTGCCCGTCCCTGCCACTCTCTGCCCTGACTGTCCGGCAGGGGACCTCACTGGGTCTCTGTGAAAGCTGATCCTGCCCCCGACACCGTGCCCCCCCAGGGTTTGCCGGCAGCCTTGGCCCATGGTCCAGGCTGATGGGTGGAGCGCACACTTATTGCCTTCCCCGACCCTTTTAGCCCCAGTGGAGTGGCGGGGAGGGGGGGGGGCGCGGGAGGGTGAAGTCAGTTGCAAACCTGGGTGAAAGTTGTTGTTTGTTGCAGCGTCCTTTTGACAGCGGCCTCAAAACAGAGGGGAATAGGTTAGCGACGTTTCTTAACTATGTAAGTATCGGGGCCAGGGCCGCCTGTTTACTCTCACTTGATTTTATAGAACGATGAGCAAGATGTTTTCAAGCATTTAGGGACGGGGAACCGTGTGGCCACATTCTTAAACTACGTGAGTATGACGTGTGTGGTGTGTGAGCCCTAAGAGGAGTCTGGGTCCAAAAAGCTCTTAACAGCCACACCTGTCCAGGCTGATCCCACCGGCGTTGCTCAGAGGCTCAGCCCTTCTTGGCTGGAGTAGAGAGTTGGCCTTTATTTTTATCTGTGGGCACCCTTTGACCCCCAGGACCTTCACATCCCTGGCTTCTTGTTTTGTTTGTGAATCCTCGCCTGAGTATATTTTAGAGAGAGTGGAGGAGAGAGGGAAAGACAGAAATAGCGATGTGAGAGAAACACATCCATTGGTTGCCTCCTGCATGAGCTCCAACCAGGGTCCGGGCCAAGGAGGAGCCTGCAACCAAGGAGTGTGCCCTTGACCGGAATCGAACCCGGGACCCTTTGATCCGTAGGTCAACGCTCTAGCCACTGAGCCAAACTGGCTAGGGCCCTGGCTCCTTTTTGATGGGCCCAGTGCTCATCCTGGAATTTTGGGGTGGGTGCCCCCCAAAGTTCTCCCCTTGGCAGCAGAGTGAGGAAGTCGCTGTGAAGTGCTTAGATGAAAGCTGCCTTTGTTTCCCCAAACGTGGCATCCTGTCTCCCAGCCTCAGGACATTGGGTTTTCCTCCCATGAGCCACAGTTTCCTGCCCCCCTCTGCCGAGAGGGCTGGCCCTAAAGAGGCATAGACGCGGTCAAGAAGTTCAGAGACAGATGCCTGAGTCCATATTTCCCTCTGGTTTCTCACTTAAGTTTTTATTGTGTGGCTTTTATGTGCTGGGGACTGCCATGAACACGCTGGTGAGCAGGACACGTGTGGTCTCTCGTAAGGCTGACGGTCTAATAATACGAGGCTTGTTTTAAACGGAGGAGAGGTAATTGTTTCATTGCCATGGTGACAAGTGCTTTGAAGACAGTCGCCCGGGGTTGGTGCTCAGAGAAGGCCTCTCTGGGGTAGGAACATGCCATTATTGAGACTTGAAGGTTGAGTGGAAAACAGTCGGTGGAACTTGGTTTCTGGCAGAGGAGGGAGTGTGTGGAGACCTGGAAGAGGGAAGGAGCGTGGGATGTTGGAAAAATAGAGAAAGGGTGGTGGCTTGGAGGCATGGACTGATGATAGTGGCTGGAGGGAGAGGCTGGTGAGACTGAGCGGGCCTCCGGATTCTAGAAAAAGAGTCTGGATTTGATCCCCAGGCTGTCACCATCAGGGGTTTTCATGTTATTCATTTCCCCTGTCTGTCAAGTGCCCTTCAGTCTGTCTGGTATGTGTCCTGTGGAAATATTTATTAGCTGCAAATACTATTTGTTACATTACAGGCAAAAACTTGAAGTGAGAGAGCCAGACAAGAAAGAAGTGGTGCTTGGGGCGTGAGCCGAGGCACACTTTGTGGGCATGCGTGCAGCCTCCCTTTTATGAAATTTGTGTTCTGGCTCATTTGAGGTCTCACCACGGGAGAAAGCAGGGCCTCTGGGGAGATAATGCCCTGCGGTCCCACCCAGTGGCCCGGGGAAGGTGTCTGTCTAACTAGAGCAAGTTTGGGAGCCAGAGGCCACCGTGCGGGCCACAGATGGTGTGGGAACTTCAGGGAGCTCCTGGTCAGGGTAGCTCATGGGTTTAGTGGCTTAGGCAAGGCCCAGGCCTAATGGGGATGCAAGGGCTGGAGGTCAGGCGGGCATTTTCTGAGATTTAGATTGTTACCCTCTGAGCACAGCGGGGATGTGAGACTCCCCTACAGCCCTTGCGTGCCCAGGGCACTGAGACTGTCCTGATGAACCAAACGGATTAAGCAGGGCTCAGGGAAAAGCTTCTCTTAGCTGAAGGGCTGGCTGTGGAGCAGAGCCTCCAAGCCATGCTGCTCATGTCCAGAGGAGGCTGATGTGCACGCCGTGTCATGTCCTCTGTGGCTCTGTTGCTCTGAAATCCTCGGGTGGAAGGACCAAGCTCTGTGCCTTGTATTCGCAGATGAGTGACGTAGAAGCTGGTGGTGCCACCGTCTTCCCTGATCTGGGGGCTGCCATTTGGCCTAAGAAGGTAAGTTTTGGTTCTCAGGGCTCTGACGTTGGAGCCGGGCTTTATGGTCCCCAGTCCCGTTCCTCGGCCTGCTTGACTCTTACTTCCTGCCTAAACTCTGATCCTGTGGCCTCAGCTTCCATCTGGGGAGAAGGGATGGGGGGGCGGGGGGAGGTTTGAAGGCCAACTCCCTGTGAAGGGTAGGTGCTTGCTGGGGAACTTTCCTCTCTCCTTGGAGGCCCAGAGCCCTGTCCCCTGTGCGCGGGAAAGAGAGGGTGTTTCTGCTCAGGGAGGGGCTTTGGGGTGCTCGGCGTCAGGTTCTCCAGCCCAGCCTCTAAGGAAGTTGTCTGAGAGGCTGTTTCTTTTCCCCAGGGCACAGCAGTATTCTGGTACAACCTCTTGCGGAGCGGGGAAGGTGACTATCGAACGAGACACGCTGCCTGCCCCGTGCTTGTGGGCTGCAAGTGGGGTGAGTGGCTTCGGGGTGCCGCTGGCCTTGGTGGCCTCGGCGGGCTCTCGTGGTCGTCCTTGGACTCTGAGCTGGAGACAACTGCTGCCAGATTTTCACAAAGCCATACTGTCCTCCTTTTTGAGTCCCATCCCTGTGCGTGTCCCCCCCCCCCCCCCCACACACGTTATATTAAAAGTATATTAGTAGAATTTACAATACAAGGCATGTCTTGGGCAGAAGCAGGAGCAAGGATGTTTTTAAATTTTTTTTTTAATCCTGCTAACTGATAGTGCCACCCAACCATTCAGCTGGGTATGTGCCCACACAGCTCTCTGAAGTCTCAGAGATGCCCAGAGAGCCGAGGGGGCCCTGAGAAAGGACAGCTAGACACGCATCAGAGGTCCAGGAGGGCCCAGAGCGATGGGCTCTGGCCAGGGTTGGGAGAGGCCCCTGGGGGAACAATTGGCATCAAAGAGGGGAAGGGGTGTTCCAGGCGAGCAAGGCATGGGGAGCAAGGCACAGGCTACAATCAGCACCACAGATGTGGGGACTGGCTTCCTTTGTCACTTGGCTACGGGGAGGCCTATGGCCCAGGGACCAAGGGATGAGGCTGGAGGCTGGAACCAAACTGCAGAGGCTGAAGCTTGAGCAAGCAGCTGTGGTGAGCCATGGAGAGGCTTGAACCAGCGTGGAACGGGAAGTGATCAGAAAAGAGATGAGTTTAACGCCGTCCTGGAGAGTTTTGGAGATAAATAGTGATAGAAAACTGAGCAAATGAAAATGAAAATCAAGGCAGTTGCTGATCAGGGAGGAAAAAACTTGTACAAGAAAGGAAATATAAGTAGGATCTATTAGGTGGCTCGTGTGTGAGCAATATTTACATGCCATAACAATGTAAATACTGAATAGTCATGTAACTAAAACCTGTGATTTAATTGTATTGAGTATATAGGAGGTAATAAGTATGTGTTTTAGAGGTAAAATAAAAGAATTCTAAAATCAAAAGTCAAGAAATAGCACTGTGACCATGTTATTTAGAAAAATGAGGATAAATATCAGAAGACAAATGAAGAAGTTAAATATCTAATGGAAGGGGGGATTGGTAGTGGGAAGGGGTAGGAAGAAGATTGCTGTTTATAATTATAAGCTTTGTAGACAATTTGATTTTTAAAAAATATTTTTTACTGATTTCAGAGGGAGAGAAAGAGAAAACATCAATGATGAGAGAGACTCATTGATTGGTTGCCTCCTGCATGCCCCCTGCTGGGAATTGAATTTGCAACCTGGGCATGTGTCCTGACTAGGGATCGAACCATTGAGCCACACCAGCTGAGCAACAATTTGATTCTTTTAAACAAAGTACCTGTATTACCTTACATTAACAAATTTAAAATGTTCCATGAATTCTGTGGTGCACTGAAATAAACTTGTTGTATCCATTGTGAAAGAGACTGTTGAGGAATAAAATCATGGTTCATGCGAATTTGAGACACTGTTTTAGCTGACCATTTGGCTACCCACAGCACCCATACAGGATCCATTGGCACACAGCCCAGGCCCTCCACCATCTTGACAGGCTTTCTCTCCCTCTTCTCTTACCTCTCAGTTCCTACCCACCCATTTCTAATAACATCGACTGGCTGGGGTCAGGGTAATTCCTGCCTTGATGTCTTTCTCAGCCTGTTCTCACTTCCTGGACCCTCTTGATATAGGAACCATCATGGTCTGTCCATTTCTTCCCTGGATAACGCCTCTCCAGCTTCATGCCCAGCTTCTGTGGTCTCTTCTTCCCTCAAATGGTTCGATGCCCTTTGGCTCTGTTTCTATGGCAACCTTACTTATAGCTTCTGTCACTGACAGACTTTTGTACAATGATCTGTTTATGCATATGTCTTCCTCACTAGCTCCCGAGTAACTTGAGACCTGAGACCGTGTCATACATCTGAATCGCGGGTCTGGTGTAGGGTTCATCCTGAAGGAGTCATTAATTTGGGGGGCTGCTCTACCCAACAGGATTGTAACATAGTTTTTATCTGTTCACAGTTTCCAACAAGTGGTTCCACGAACGAGGACAGGAGTTCCTGAGGCCATGTGGGTCAACAGAAGTTGACTGACATCCTTTTCTGCCCATCCTCTTCCTGGTCCCACAGCCTTTTGTCTTCAAGTTCAACGTGACAAACACCTTTGTGTGTTCCAGCCCCTGTCAGGCGGGTCTTTGGAGAAGTGAGTTTGTCTGGAGCAGACCAAGAGGATAGGGGAAGGTCCTGGGTGGCCTCGGTCCCCAGCCTTTCTGGTCAGCCTGTTCCATCTCAGGTCAGAGCGGCTGCAGCAGAGTCCGGCTGCCTGGTGCCTCGCAAGATGCCTTTTGTACCTCAGATGCTTTAGGTGTGAGATGTCTCAGTGAACCAAAGTTCTGGTGCTTGTTTACATGTTTGTTCTTATGCATTTCTATTAATGTGGCTTTAATAAAAAATAAATAAAAATGTCCCTGCCAGAAGCCTTAAAGAGCCTTATTTGGACTATTTTTTTTTTTAAGACATGGGAGCTTTTATCAAGTTCACTGTTTCCTGTGCCTCTCCTCTGTGGAAGCAGAATCTGGGTAATAAGTACTTTAGTGGCAAAACTCTGACCTTGAGTATTAGATCTGGTGTCCAAGCTTCAGTGTCCTTCCTGGAAACTGAGGGAAATCATTTCTCTCGGTCTCCCAGAGAGCATAGGGGTCATGTATGTTCATAACTGTGATGCTGTTTATTTTTAAAATTTGAGATATACACACAGAGTTGTTTGTGACACACAGATGTACAGTTTAAAAATATGAAGCTAGTAAACACAAGAGCACCCATGCACCACCGCCCAGATAATTTTCAAATCAACACCTCAGGACTCCTTGTGAGCCCCTTCTGCAGATCTTCTTCTATTGTTGTTTTTTCCCTTAGTTTCTGGTCTTTTGGTCCACTCTGTTGATATGCCTGGTGATTTTTTATTGAGTGCTGGACCCTGTGTATGACAAATTGTATTAGTTTAGGATGGTGGTAATCTCCTAAACAAAGGGTTCACCATTTCCTCTACTAGATAGAGGAGGGATTGATCACCTTAATCCAGATCAAAAGCCTGAGACAACTTAATTAGGCTGGGTTGCAAATTTCTTAAGATTCTACCTCTGGTTTACCCTTTTTCCTCTTTACAGGTAATGTCCCCCAGGGGTTTTCCAGTTGAAAGCCTAAAATGTTCACTAGATCTTTCCCCCGACACCCCACCCCCAAGCAAGTCTGCAGCTCTTTCCTTGTATCCTGAGTATCTAGACACTCTCCCCAAAATTCATTTTTTTTATTCAGACGTTTTCTACTTAGCTTCTTGACCTTCCATTCTAAACAGCTTCTGAATTTAGAAAAATATCTTAGTGAGTAAACAGGCTGAGTGGTTGACTAAGCTCTTCAACACTCTCTCCTATTTAATATTCTAACCAACTACAGTCTAATTTTTATCTTTCACTGCCCCTTGAGACTGCCAGTGTTTCTTTGCCTCTTGATAGTTGCTCATTGCTTGAGACCTTTATCTGGGTCCCCGGTCTCCTACCCCATGCCTAGACTCAGAAAATGATCTAAGAATAAAAGAGGCTACAGATTTTTGGCTCATCAACCCAAGATTCATATTCCCCAGGAGCTTGATGCACAAGCCCTTTTAACTAGTAATTCAAATAAACTTCTCTGAGATTTTATTGAGTTTTCATGGTTGTTTTTTTATTGGTCTACCTTAAGCAATTCTATTTTGGCTAGAGTTTTGTTCATTTGAGTTAAAAAAATTTTAATGTGAAAAATAGATACAAGAAACACAAGAAAATCTTGTGTTTAATATCTTCCTTAGTTATCTGGTATAACATGTTCACCATTCATCTTGGATATTTCCTGCATGAAGCATGGTGTGTTGGTGCCTGCATGGCCAGTGTGCTCCCAGAAACAAGTACACAATAACCTTAGAGATAGGGCACTGTTTTCAGTAATCTTTATTAACCAACTTAGCATTAGCATGGCACCAAAAGAGGTGAGCATTTCAGTATGCTTTCGGTAGTATGCCAGGGATGTTACAGTCTTTTCCAAATTCACAACTCTTTAGAATAGGTGATGAAAAAGCTAGATATCAGAAAGGTTAATCAATGAACTTGAGGTCATATAAGGTCTCATTGCTGTTTGGTGAGAGACCTAGGAATCAAACCTGGATCATAGGTCAACTCTCAACCACTGAGCCACACCAGCTAGGGGCTATTTTGAATTTTTAGTTGAAGAAGTTACTTTCTGTTAATACATCTAATTACAAAAAGCAGCCTTTTCAAAAGTCTGATGATTTAAAATCCAGTGTTATATTCCATTTGAAGTAGTTTTAAGCAGCATATGGTATCAATAATTCATTGTATAAAATCAGAATTGAGTTTGGATCCTCTAAATCTGATTCACAAATTTTTCTTAGTTCAATCTTACGCAAATTTGGAAGTATTAGATAGTACAAGGGTCTCCAGGTCTGGGTGATTCTTACTAAATTCTATTCTGGCCAAATGAACTTGACCCTAACACTAACCACAACTTATAAGTTTAGGCAATGCAAAGAAGAAATCAACATATTATATAAGGAAACAAATAATGTTTGTAAGCAATGGCTAAGCCTTTCTTCAAGGAGGCAGAGCTTTGGATGTGAATCCAGTCTGCTTTACTTGCTCAAAGTAAATGAAACTACCTAATGACAATTACAACTTGTTCTTTTTAATATGTTTTTTAAATTGATTTCACAGAGAGGATGTAAGAGAGGGGAGGGATAGAAACATCAACAATGAGAGAGAATTTTTTTATTGGCTACCTCCTGCAGCTCCCTACTGGGGATGGAGCCTGCAACCTAGGTATGCGCCCTGATGGGAATGCAACCATGACCTCCTGGTTCACAGGTTCACACTGAACAACTGAACCACACACTGGGGGCACAACTTATTAAATAGAATACAACAAGCAGCAAACCCTTGGAATTTGGTAACAGAAGTTGGTCTAAGGAACTTTTTAAAAATAATACCAGCCACAGCAGCATCCTACAAAAGAAGTTTCAGTAAACTGAAGTTAATTTAAAACTGTTTAAGATCTCACTTGATGAAGAGAAGTAAATTTTTGAAAAACTTGAGTTTGCTTCCAAAAAGCCAGGAAAATAAGTTTATGGTAAGTTTTATTTTTGGTATAATGTTTAAACTTAAAAATAACATGAATTTTTCCCAGCCAACATGGTTCACTGGTTGAGTACTGACCTATGAACCAGGAGGTCATGATTCGATTTCCTGTCAGGGCACATGCCCAGGTTTCTGACTCCATCTATCCCCAGTAGGGGGTGTGCTGGAGACAGCCAATAATAATTCTCTCACATCATGGATGTTTTGTTCTCTCCCTCTAAGAAATATATATATATTTAAAAAATAATATGAATTTTAATATACCAACTTTTCAACTTTAAAATATTTCAAACATTTACTATTTTGGGAACATTAACTATTTAAAAATACACAAAAATACAGAATTATATGAATTGCTGAAGGGGATTCTTTCGGAAGAGAAAGTAAATAAAGATAAAAATTATGAACAACAAATACGTAACTATCAACAAGTGAATCTAAAAACCAAGGAAATTAAAAAAAAATCTGATGAACAATATTAACTGTTGAATATAATAGAATCAGAGGTACGGAAGGGGAATGAACTGACGATTCTTAGGGAAAAGGGGAGAGGGGGATGTGGGAAGAGACTGAACATAAACTGTGCACCTATGGATAAGGACAATGGGGGGTGGGAAAGGGCAGAGGGTGGGATGGGAACTTGATGGAGGAGAGCAATGATGGGGGGGGGGAAGGAACATTTGTAATAATATGAACAATAAAAATTTATTTAAAAAAATAAAAATACACAAAAATAAGTATATAAAGCGCACATTTCTTTTTGCCTAAGGCTGTGATGTGGCTTGGCACAACATTGCTCTTAAATGTTCAAACTTGGCATCTTAACCCTAACATTAAAGTTGCCAGATTTAGCAAATAAAAATACAAGACAATCAGTTACACTGCAATTTCACATAAACAGCAAATATTTCGGCTTGCGAGATGGTGCTAAAACTTTTCCCTGCTTACCCCACTGGCATCCCACATATTATCCGGCAACGCTAAACATGAACCTCCTGGAGAAAGCCTCCTGCCTCTGTCTCCCCGTCCAGTTTTACTCTCCCACCCACGCAGCCCCGTCCAGGTCCCTCCAGCCAGCTGTCAAACAGCTGTGAGGCAACCGCCCACGTGGGCAGTCACGTGGCTCCTGACGCACGCTGAGCACGTGCGTGGGCGTGTCCACGCCTCACCGCGCATGCTCCCCCCAGTGGTGGTGCACAGCCCGTGGAGGGGAGCACTCTTCACCCTCCGCTCCATCGCGCTCGTCCCGCCCCGGGGCCCTCTGCTGCTGCTGCCTCTGCCTCCGGTGAGTGACAGTCTGCCTCAGGCCCTTCAGGCTGACCACATGCCTCGTGGTCCTTCCAGGCCTTTCGTGGTCCACCGGAAGGATCTGTGCTCGCAGGCCCCTCAGGATTGTAAGGCTCAACAGTTCTCCCTCAGTTGACCCATAGATGCGATACCGTTGCAGTGAAAATCTAAGCGCACACACAAAAAGTAGTTGGACTTGTGTACACTAGCGATGAATAGCCGAAAACAAAAGAAATTAAAAAGATAATTCCATTTAAAATAGCATTGAAAGGGGGAAAAAATATAATCAAGGAAGTACAAGATTTACATACTGGAGATCCATGTAAGAAGCTGAAGACTTAAATGTGAAAGACTTCCCATGGATATGGATTGGAAGATATTGTTAAAATTGCAATAATCATCCCCCCCCCCCCCCACCAAGATCCACAAATTCAGTGCAGTATCAACCAAAATGTCCCATGGCCTTTTATTTCAAAAACAGCTGATCCTAAAATTCATAGGGAATCGCAAGGAAACACAAATCGTCATGCTTCAACATGAATGAGTTTGAGATATTATGCTAAGTGGCGGGGGTGGGGAGTGGGTGGGGGGAGCCAGACACAAAGAGTACACATTGTATCATTC